ACGCAAACTAGCGCAAACTACGTAATTTTAATCAAATGACAATTTTTATTTACAAACAATTGTATATTTTAATGAATTTTTTGGCTCGTAGCTCTTTTTCTTTTTCATTATTTTTAAATTTATTGAGCCTTATTACAAACATATTTTAAATTATTTGTTTTATTCGTTTCAGCTCGCAAAGCCGATTGAATATAATCAATTCCGAAAACTGATTCCCCTGACCAAGTTTAAACCTCTTCCCGGACAAATATATGTACTTTATCAGGATGGGGTATGATTTTTTTTCGCGAGAACGGACCGATCCCGAGCATACTTCAAAAAATGAATCAGGTTGTTTTCATCGTACCAATGCAATGTCAGGATAGGCATTTTGCCGTATCCACCACTCAGTTATGCACACTCAATCGTTCGGGAATTGGCGCTTGCCAGGTAAATAATAGCATTAATGGATACATAAAGATATATTTTCTAGTTTAATCGAGATGATTGATTTATCAATTGTTGAAAAAATTCAATAATAAATAAGTTAACAAAAACGTCTGTCTGCTTTTCAGGGTGACAGCGGTGGCCCCTCATTAGTGATGGCGTACAGATTGGTATTGTCTCCTTTGGTAAACCTTGCGTTCAGGGTTATCTTGACGTCTACACCGATGTCTACTCCCATCGCAACTTTATTGATAACGCCTAAGAAAATGCATGAAAGCAATTTATGAGACATAAATAAATCTATTTAATTTATAGTTTATGTTAACTAATATTAACGTGCCGAAAGAATTCGTTGCTGCAACGTTGAAATTACATGCAATACGTGGACTACGTCTGTAAAAGACAAAAAACATTTCTGTATTTTAATATAAATAAATAAATAAATAAATAAATAAAAGTGTTATGTGATTATATACACTAAATCTATCCATATAGCATTTTCGAGTGCAATGGGTTTAAACTCAATTCAGACCGGTTTATACATGTTTGACTCGAAAGTATCATGACATTGTCTGTAACGCATCGTTTCCGACCGAAGAACTGGCCGGATGCCGCTAGTTTTCCATATGCCAGCGATAAAGACGCGGTGTTCCCGCATTTTTTTTAAACATTCAAACATAATTCCAGGTGACAATAGCACTTTGCTGCCGTTATTCTGAAAATTAACAAGCGTGGCCGAAAATCGCCGGTCGACATCTTCCCCGCTCAAATTGTCGATTAAAGAGAAAGACCGAACCGACACAGAACAAAACGAGAGGGAGCAATAATCGCGATTGCGTTGCTAACGTCTCTAAATTCCGTTCTGATCCAGATCTCCTCCGAGAGTTCTCGGTTGTCGATGCGCATCCCAGACGTTTCCCCCACATAATGAGGGAACGAGCCTAACGATTTCGCATAAGGACCGCGATTTCGATGCATATATCCGTGTATGTACGCGATCAACTCAAATGTGGTACCGCCGCGCGCGGCGCACACACGTCGAAACTGGATTTAGAGAGTCCGCCGACTGTTCGCGACACACATACTTAGTAAATGAAGTTTCTAGTAACTATTTTACTATATCACGTCATGATTTTTACTATCACGTAGTAAATCCAAATAATATTTACTGGAAACTTCATTCCATTTAAATGGTAAATATAATGTTTAAAGGTGAAATTACAATCACTCTGTGTTTTAACTGCGCAATCAAGGGTTAAAAATGACCTCTTCGAAGTTAGCACATTATTTAAAAAAAAAATGAAATTATCGACACAGTTTCGAATGCACAAGAGTTCTAGGAGTTCCTGCCTAAAATAAAAAATATTTTCAAACAAACAAAGAAAGAAGTACAGCCTATAACGGTCAAAGCTGGATCAAAGTGCTTATTATAATTATGCGTGATTTTTATATTATAATACATATATGTATGTAGTCCCCCCCATAATTGCGTGCTGATAACTTTCAGACATAACGCATAAATAATACAGTAGTAATATCACAAATTTTACTTGATTAATTATATATTAAATATGAAGATGATAAATTAAAATTCCGTAGATAATTAGATCTTTAATTTATTCTTTATATATTGCGAAAAATATCACATAGTTTTTGGCGTTTTGTGCCTAAAATAAAAAATATTTTTCCGGCGAATTAATACAAAAAATCGAATATTATTGGAAGTACAAATTAGCTCGGTCCGTTTTTTTTTTCCAAAAATGCATTTATTTCAAAACAAAATGAATGAACAGATTAATTAAAGTATTGTCCATCGTTGGCTACTATTTTTTCCCATCTCAGGCAATTCCATCTCGAAAAAATGACTCGTCTTTGGAGGCGATTCAATTTTGGGGCCAATTTTCGATTTCTGCGAAAGAAGTGAACCGGTGACTTGCCAAATCCGCGCGCGGTGAGGTGAGAGAGACAGCGGAGGCGATTCGAAAATCGGCCGAAAGCTGCGTACATTTTATGTATGTTCACTTTGTACTGGCACCTTTAATTAATAATATATCAGTTATACTTTTCATGGTAATATATTATTATTTTTTATAATTTCGAATTGTTCGCACACAAAGATACACGGTGCGGTCTTGCGCGTTATAATCCCTTTTTAAATTGTGTATATTAAAATGGCAGAACCAATGTAGCGATCGAAAACAATAACGAAATCCTAAAGGTTTTTAAATTTAAGAGAAATTGTGTATTAGTAGAAATTAGGAGTTGTTGATTTCAGAACAAGTTTCAAAGAAACATAATTCATAATATCTAAAAAGAAAAGTATAATGAACCAGCGCGCGCGTAGCGCGCGCAAGGAATGTGCTGTAGAATAAAGCGGGGAGCACACAGACTCTTGCATAAGGCATAATATATAGATAACGCATAAGAAAATGTACCAATCAAAGTTCTTCGTTTCTTTCCTTTCTATGAAATAAAGAACTCTGATTGGTTTCTTATGCCTTATGTACAATATTATGCTTCATGCAAGAGTCTGTGCTCCCCGCTTAACATATCGATCAAACATCGAATCGCATAAAGCAAATTGAAGTCAGCTGTTAAAGAAATATAAGTATACAATTTTTAATATTTTGGTGAAAGTAATCTATATCATGCAAAATTCCAGTAAGTCAACTACTTAATTATCTTTCAAAAATACAAATTATATTGTCGCACAAGTTATATTACTTTGTATTCTATATATTTTACTGATATCACATTATCGTAGACATTTTTAATGAGAAAGAAGTGGAATGTGAGGTTCAAGATGCTCATTCTGCAAGTCATTCGAAATTGAGAAAAGAGCTTGATGAATTTGATTTAATTCAACGTAGAAAATTACGTTCCCCAATACTTGGTTACAATTGTCAACTTCCTAATTTACCAACGAGTTGCATATCACCCACAATCCTAGATACATCTTTGTCGCATGTAAGATTCAACGACATACATTTGCTGCAAGAATTAAACGAAATATTCTAATTTTATTCCAGTGCTTGTAGTGGTTTTGTTTTATTTATATCTTACATCCTCTATTTACAGATTCCTATTTATGCCCATTTAAAGATATATGATTTGAAACCTGTGCGCCTACCACAACCACCATCGATTTTATCATCGTTGCAATTTTCGTGAGTATTTTTTCTTTGCGCAATTTTCCATTATATTTAATGATTATGCTTTATTTTTAGGGAAGGTACTATACTCAGTAAATCTTCAAGAGAAATATCATCGACTGCGAGATTAAGCGAGGAAGACGATATAA